TTGGTTAGCCATAATGTTCACCTCAAACTCCCTAACTATCCCTTCCCCCCAATCTTCCCCACCGCACCCAGCCATAAGTTTGTTCTGTAAGTCTGTTTCTGTTTTGTAAATCAGTTCATTTGTATTTGGGCTTCCCTTGTGACTCAGCTGGTAAAGAATCCACCTGCAATGTGGGAGGCCTGGGTTCGATCCCTGGGTTGGGACGATCCCCTAGAGAAGGGAAAGGCTACCCACTCCAGTATTCTGGCCCGGAGAATTCCAAGGATTGTATAGTTCATGGGGTCGCAAAGAGGCAGACATGACTGAGCGACTTTTACTTTCTTTCACTTTCATTTGTGTCATTTCTTTTTGTGTGTGTTCAGACTGGGACCTAATGAACTGTAACCAGCCAAGCTCCTCTATCCATCACATTTCCCATGCAAGAATACTGGAGTGGGTTGCCATTTTCTCCTCCAGACCAAGAGATTGAAACGGCAGGTTCTTTGCCACTGTGCCACCTGAGAAGCCCCATCATTTCTTTTTAAATTCCACACATAAGGTATGTCATATGGTATTTTTCCTTCTGACTTATTCCACTCAGTAAGACAATCTATAGGTCCATCCATGTTGCTGCAAATTGCATTATTTTTTTATGGCTGAGTAATACCACATTGTGTGTATATGTATATATACATACATACCACATCTTTTTTATCCATTTATCTGTCAATAGACATTTAGGCACGCAGGAGACCCCGATTCCTGGGTAGAATCTTTCCGGGGTCAGGAAGATTCTCGAAGAATGGACAGGCAACCCACTCCAGTATTCTGGGGCTTCCCTGGTGGCTCAGCTGGTAAAGAATCTGCCTGCGATGTGGGAGACCTGGGTTCGATCCCTGGGTTGGGAAGATCCCCTGGAGGAGGGCATGGCAACTCAGTCCAGTGTTCTTTACTGGAGAGTCCTCACGGACGGAAAATCTGGTGGGCTACGCCATGGGGTGGCAGTCAGACATGACAGTGACTAAACACGGCACACAACACAGCACATTTAGCTTGCGCCCATGTCTTGGCTGTTGTCAACACCGCTGCTGTGAACACAGGGATGCATGTATCTTTTTAAATCCAGAGTTTTCCCTGGGTATATGCCCAATAGTAAGATTGTAGGATCATATGGCTACTCTGTATTTATATCGTTTTTTGAGACACCTCCATACTGTTTTCCATTCCCACCAATAGTGTAGGAGTGTCCCCTTCCCTCCACACCTTCTCCAGTATTTGTTATTTGTAGAGTTTTTAACTATGGCCATTCTGACTGGTGGGAGGTGTACCTCATTGCCAAAGAGTTAATTTTAGACCAATCCTCTCTCCCTGAACCTAAAGCCCTTCCAGTCTCTGCCCATCTGACTACTGGGCAGAACTGAGTGCTAATGAACCTGTCTCTTACGTTCTTAATCTCTGGAGAACTAAATATTATCTACTGAAAAATACTTTGTTTTTACCATTTTTGTGTGGCCTAATTTTACAATTTTTCTGTGGGAAATTAGCACTGACAAAAATATAAAAAGTCTCTGTACTGCAGTTCCAAATAAATAATAGGCAGATAGGATGTAACAGCTTCCCAGAACAAATACAGTCACTGCGAGAAAAGGAGGAGAGAGTTTCAAGGGATGATCAGAGAACTGAAGAATTAGATGTCCTTATGATTCTACCAGGGCAAAAGCAGGAACATGGTCACCTAAGGTGTACCTTACATTGTTCAGTGATTCCCAGAACTCTCTCAAAGCAAATCAGGGGAGTGGAACATGATATTCAGAGATGTGTAGTCACTTGCCCAAAGCTGATGAGTGGTAAGAACAGTGTTGTTAGGTAACATTTAATTAATACTCATTATGAGGCAGGTCCTGAATTAAGTACCTCATATGTTATATATAATTCAATCTTCAAAACAACCTTATTTTGTAAATCTATTAATAGGTATTTTTCCATACTACTGGGGTAATGGATGTTACAAAAGGCGACTATGTCTTTCAGTTAAGAAGTGGTGGAACTGAGATTAGAGCAGGCAGGGTCAGGAGTCCAGCCTGCGGTCTGAGTTTGCTTTTCAGCATGTCACTGTGCTAATAGGGGAGGGGGGAACCTCTCTGGGTGATAGCCATAGGGGAACAGTACTGTGGCTGGGACAGAGGTCTTGGAGGTCATATGACCTTAGTTTAAGAACTGGTCCTTTACCAATTGTGTGTCTTTGGGCAAGTCACTTAAAAAAAGTCTGTTTCTTCAAATGAGTATACAGCATAGAGTGAATACTGAATAAATGTTAATTAGCCATTATAATTTCAGATAGCTGTGAAAGCAGACAGGAGTGAATATACAGAGGAGAGTTTAGATAAATGTAAAGGAGAGGAATGTCATAATATAGTTTGAATAATTTTTAAATTTGCAATTAGCCCTGAAAACGCTGAGAGAAATCCCCAATTGATAATGCAAACTTTCAAATCAGAAAGCAGAAGCTGAGGGATAAAATGGAAGGTGGGGACAGCAGCAGTTTCTTTTTCGGGATTAGAATTTTTTCTGTTCTACAGTGACCACCTCACTGGGCCTTGAAATGGACCACTCATTAACACTGAGTCTTCAAAACTAGAACGCCCAGCGACTTGGCATACAGATAGATTTGGATATAAATTCCTGAACCTGGAAATGAAGTTTTGCTTCTGCACCACTTACTTTACATGCTCCCTTTGTATTGTGTTTTTAGTGGTGGCCAAGCAAAGTGACTTGCCTTTCTACTCCTGCTCCTCTTAAGGATCCCATTCTGGGTAAGTAGCTCTTGGCCCCTGCTATTGCACACTTTCTCTTCCTCAAACCTGCAGTACTTTCTCTTCCATCCTGACTCTGGATGAGGATACTTCTTATTTCACCGAGAAAATGGAAGCATCTAAATAGAACCACCACATTCTATCTCTGCCACATTTTCCCCATGCTGTGCATCTGTATGCACACTCTGCCTTCTCTCCTCTCGTGGAGGCGACCACTCTGCACCTGTGTAAGACCACTCCTGCCCACAAGCTCCAGGGCCTATCTCCCTCCATCACCTCTTATTCTTTCCATCTCTTTGATCAGCTCATTAGTATACACACATGCTGTTAATTTTCCTTTTAAAAATCCTCTATTAAAAAAAGATAAAACTTATCACAATAGCATTATTAACAAGAGTGCCTTAATATAATTTCATAACTCATCTGTGTTTAAGTTCTCATCTGAAAATGATATACACTAAAGTTATCAGAGGTGAAACAATGGTTCTTAAAAATATTCCAATCAAAACATTGTAGATGAAGCACAGTTTTCAAAACATCAATAGGTATTGAAATTGGGTAACAAGAACATGTAGGTTCCTGTTACTTTCCCCCTCTATTCTTGGGTATGCTTAAAAAATATACATGGAAAAGGTTAAAAAAAATCATCTCAGTTCTGCTTCCTCTCCAGCTATTACATTATTTGCTTCTCTTTAGGATAGTACTCCCTGAAATAGTATATTCACTGACTGATTTTCTTCTTCCTTCATTCAGGTTTCTTCCCCTTACCATTTCAGCAAAATTGCTTAAGACCACTAAAGACGTCCACATTGTTAATCCAGTGGTCATTTCTCCTACATTACTCATTTGATAGCTGATTACTCCTTCCTCCTTGAAATGCTCTCCACTAGACTTCCAAGACTACAGCCAGTGGGGGATTGCATCCGAAAGTGGGTGGACTGGATCCTGGAGAAGGCCACACCAAGGGAGTTGCAGTGAAGGTGGCAGCCGCAGTGGCATCAGTTTCTCTGGCAGAGCAGGTGGAAAGGGGAAAAAAAGGTGAGTGAATGTCCAACTGGTGATGGGGGTGCAGCTAGAGTCCTCAGCAACACCCTGAGTCCTGAAGAGAGACCTCTGTGACTGGGAGGATGGAAAGGAAAGAAGGCAGCCAAGGACAACTGAAGGTATGGATTTCCTGCTGTTTGTTCCAGAATTCCACTGAGAAGTGTCCCCCCCGCCCTGACCTCTCTCTGCTGGTATTCCCCTAGTAGAGGACTCCCCTACTGGGCCATGGGCACACTCAAAAGTGCCAAGTGCTTATTATATACCCCATCCCCCACCCCAACTCCATCACCATCCATTTTTTAACACTAGGTTTCTTATGCATGTGTGCATATGTGTGTTCAACCCAACTCTTTTCGACCCTAGGCATGGACTGTAGCCCATCAGGCTACTATGTCTATGGAATTTTCCAGGCACATGCATATCTTCCCAATTTAGCACCAGTAGAATAAATCAGAATCTTGTGCTATAGTGCCACCTTCTGGAAAGTAAAAAAAAAAAAAAGGCATCTTATTGCCAGCCTGTTGAAATATTAGAATCGCAGTAATCAAAAGCCTTGAATCACTCCGGTGACACAGTGATAAAGAATCTGCCTGCCAGAGATGCGGGTTCGGTCCCTGGGTCGGGAGGATGCCCTGGAGAAGGGCATGGCAACCCACTCCAATATTCTTGCCTGGAAAATCCCACGGACAGAAGAGACTTGTGGGCTACTGTCCACAGGGTTGCAGAACTGGACATGACTGAACGTGCACACACAAACAAAAGCTTACCTAAATAAGAAAGGCATTCATTACTTCAAATGAAGATGTGCAGAAGCACATTTCATCAAATGGTATGAAAAAATCATGGTAATATGGTATCCCAAAAATAAAATGACCATTTTTCAGCAATTGAACTCAAAGACACAGAATACTATGATTTACCTTATAAAGAATTCAAAAGAGTTGTCACGGAGAAATTCAAGCTATATATAAGAAAACTTGGCAATTCAATGAAATGAAATCAGTAAACAGAGGGAATACTTTACCAAGAGTGCATGCATGGTCAGTCATGTCTGACTCTTCGCCACCCTATGGACTGTAGCCAGGCTCCTCTGTCCATGGGATTTTCCTCCTCAAGGAGATCTTCCTGACCCAGGGATCGAGCTCGTATCTCTTGCATCTTCTGCACTGGCAGGCAGATTCTTTACCACTCAGCCACCTGGGAAGCCCAAGAAATGAGATGAAGACTGCATTAGAGACACTGAAAACAGAGCAGATCAGGTGGAAGAGAGAATGAGCAAGTCAGAGCATAAGAATTTGGAAATGATTTAGGGGAGGAAATCTGTCAAGATGGTGGAACAGAAAGATCCTGAGCTCACATTTTCTCCAGGCACACCCAAATAAACGCGATCTGCAGAACAAGCATTGATGAAAAAGACCAAAACCTACCAAAAAACATCTATAACTAAAGACACAAAGGAGGAGCCACAACAGGTAGGAGGGGCAGAGTCCTAATATATAGTCAAGTCCCCTGCCCACTGGCTGGCAACCCACAAGTGGGAAAATAATTACAATTGCAGAGGTTCTCCCAAAAGAGTGAGAGGTCCAAGCTCCATGTAGGGCTCCCTAGCCTGGGGGTTCTACACCAGGGAGATGAGCTCCTAGAGCATGTGGGTTTGAAGGCCAGCAGTACTGACTGTCGGGGTTCCCAGAGGGCTGTAGGAAAGAGAGACTTCAGTCTTAGAGTGTGCACAAAACCTCATACTCTCCAGGACCCAGGGAGAAGCAGTGACTTCACAGAAGCCTGGGTCAGACCTCCTGCTGATCCTGGAAAGTCTCCTTGCGAGGCAAGAAGCACCTGCAGCTCATCCTGGAGACACAGGTACCGACAGTAGCTATTCTGGGGAGCCCCCCCCCTGTGGACACTGTGCAGGCAAATGCCTTCATCGGTAGAGCCCTCCCTCTAGTTCATCAGCCCCAGAGCCAGCCTTGAACTGGCCTGTGGGCACCGTTGCTGGGATGCTTCGGGTCAAGCAGGTAACTGGGTGTGGCTACAGCCCCACCCTCCAGCAGAGAGGCTGCCATGAGACCCTCTGAGCCCACCAATGCCTCTGGACATGGCTCTGTCCACAAGAGGGCTCATGCCCCAGGCTCACATATCAGTGTGCACTAGACCTGAGGCACCCAGAGCCCTCTAGCCAGAGACCCCAGTTCCCAGTCTCATTTACCAGGGGGCAGACCCCAGCTATAAGAACGCTGTAGCCGGGTTCCACAGTCAGATGCCTCGCCACCCATTCCTGCCAACCAGCAACCTCCACACAAGGTAAGACTACAAAGCCACAGGCATCAAACACAGACACATGGGTCAATGAAATACAATAGAGTGCCCAGAAATAAACCCATACACTTATAGTCAATTAATCTTTGACCAAGGAGGAAAGAATATACACTGGGAAAAAGACAGTCTCTTCAGAGAGCTGTGTTGGAAAAGTTGGACATAAGTCGATGGTTACAACACACCCTCTCACCTTACAGGAAAATAAACTCAAAGTGGCTTAAAGACTTACACACAAGACATGACACCATAAAACTCCCGAAAGAGATCATAGGCAAAGCATTTTCCGATGTACACTGTATCAATGTTTTCTTAGGGAGGTCTCCCGAAGCCATAGAAATAAAAACAAGGGTAAATGGTACCTAATCAAAATTTCCTCTATTTCTTTACATTGCTCATTGAAGAAGGCCTTCCTGTCTCTCCTTGCTCTTCTCTGTATCTCTGCATTTAGTTGGGTGTACTCCCTTGCTTTTTGCTTCTCTTCTTTCCTCAGCTATTTGTAAAACCTCCTCAGACAACCACTTTGCCTTCTTGGATTTCTTTTTCTTTGGGATAGTTCTGTTTGCTGACTCCTGTCAAATATTATGGACCTCTGTCTAGAGATCTTTAGGCAGTCTGTTTACCAGATCCAATCCCTTGAATCTATTTGTCACTCTACTGTATATTCATAGGGGATTTAAGTTGTACCTGACTGGCCTAGTGGGTTTCCTAGCTTTCTTTAGTTTAAGCCTGAATTTTGCTATGAGGAGCTGATGATCTGAGCCACAGTCAGCTTCAGGTCTTGGTTTTGCTGACAAAGGTCTGTATAGTTAAGGCTGTGGTCTTTCCAGTAGTCATGTACAGATGTGAGAGTTGGACAATAAAGAAGGCAGAGCACCAAAGAATTGATGCTTTCAAACTGTGGTCCTGGAGAAGACTCAAGAGGCCCTTGAAAAGCAAGTAGATCAAACCAGTCAATCTCAAAGGAAATCAACCTTGAATACTCTTTGGAAGGACTGATGCTGAAGCTCCAATACTTTGGCCACCTGATGCGAACAGCTGATTTGCTGGTGAAGACCCTGATGATGGGAAAGATTGAAGGGAGAGGATAACAGGGGATGAAATGGTTGGATGGCATCATCAATTCAATGGACATGAACTTGGGCAAACTTCAGGAGATGATAAGGGTCAGGGAAGCCTGCCATGCTGCAGTCCACAGGGTTGCAAAGAGTCAAACGTGACTTGGCGACTGAACAAAAACAGTCAAACTTACAAGCTTTTGCATGGAAAGGGAAACCATAAAAAAGAAACAAAAAGACAACCTAGAGAATGGGAGAAAATATTTGCCAACAATGTGACTGATGAGACAGATTATATAACTCAACAACACAATTGAAAAATGGGCAGAAGACTTAAAGAGACATTTCCCAAGGAAGAAATACAGATGGCCAATAAGCACATGAAAAGATGCTCAACATCACTAATTATTAGAGAAATGCAAACCTAACTACAGTAAGGTGACACCTCACACTAAGCGGAATGGTTATCATTAAAAAGTCTACAAATAACAAATCCTGTAAAAGGTGTGGAGCAAAGGGAACCCTCCTGTTGGTGGGAATGTAAGTTTGTGCAGCCACTGTGGAAAACGGTATGGGGGTCCTACAGCAAACTAAGAATGAACATATGATCTAGCAATCCCACTCCTGGGCATATACCTAGACAAAATTCTAATGCAAAAAGATACTTGCACCCCTATTTTCACAGCAGCACTATTCATAATAACCAAGACATGGAAACTACCTAAATGTCCATCAAGAGATGAATAGATAAGATGTGGTACATATAAACAATGGGGTACTACTTAGCTATAAAAAGGATGAAATACTGCCATTTGCAACAACATGAATAGACCTAGAGACGATCATATTAAGTGAAGTAAGACAAATATGATATCCCTCATATGGGATCTAAAATATGACACAAATGAACTTATCTACAAAAGGAAAACAGACTCAGAAATACAGAACACACTTGTTGCCAAGGCAGAAGGCTTTGAGGGAGGAATGAATTGTGAGTTTGGGGTTAGCAGGTATAAGTAATAATATATGGAATGGATAAACAACAAGGTCCTACTACTATATAGCACAGAGAACTATGTTCAGTATCCTGTTATAAAGCATAATGGAAAAGAATATAAAAAATAAGTAACTGAGTCAGTTTGCTGTATAGCAGAAATTAACACACAGTAAATCAACTACACGTCAATAAAAATAAATTTAAAAGAAGATAAAATTGTCCCTTTTCTGTTGGTAGGAATTTATATATGAGATGATGTATGTAAACTTCATGGTAGCCACAAAGTAAAAACCAAGATCAGAGACACAAAACATTAAAAAAGGGGATAATGAGCAAATCACCATGAAAAGAAACAACTTACAAAGGTAGAAACAGAAGGAGCAAAACCAGTGGAAAGACAAGTAGCTAGAAAGCAAAATTTAAAATATAAATGGATTGAACTCTGCAGTAAAAAGGTACAGAGTGGCTGGATGGATTACAAAAAAAAGACCGAACCAAATGCTGCCTAAGGAAACACATTTCAGCTCTAAAGACATATAGGCTCAAAGTATAGGCCTTGAAAAAGATATTCCAGCAATCAGAAGCAAAAAGAAAGTGGGCTTAGCAATATTTATAACAGAGAAGACTTGAAATAAAAAATGATAAGTGACAAATATAGTCATTATATAATGACAAAGGGGTCAATACACCTTTCTCATGTTTTATAGTGAGATCTATACAAGTGAAAACTAAACAATACACTTTTATAAAAACACCACCAATGGGTCAAAGAAGAAACTGCAATTAAAACAAAAGTTACTGAAACAAAAGAACATGTAAATATACCATTTCAGATCTTGTGAGATGCAGTGAAAGAAGTTCTGAAAATTTATAGCAATATGCACATATATAGTCTAGCTATCTTTTCAAAGAACTAGTTCTTAGTTTTGTTGATTCTTCCTATTTTCATCTAGTTTCCATTTCTTTCTCTTTGATCTTTATTTCCTTCCTTCTGCTAATTATGGGATTAGTTTTTTTTCCCTAGTTCTTTGTGGGGACCATTAGCAAGATAGCTTATAAACCAGGGCCAGCTAGTAATATATCAGTATAATCAGTGAGAAAGGATACTCCCATGATCATCTTAATAGGAATCCACAATGGCCATGAACAGTGCTACTTGTTTAGGAGATAGAATGAGAGGAGGAGAAAAGGGAATCCTGCACTGTTGGTGGGAAGGTAAATTGGTACAGCCACTATGGAGAACAGTACAGAGGTTTCTCAAGAAACTAAAAATAGAACTACTGTATGATCCAGAAACCCCGCTCCTGGGCATTTACCTGGAGAAAACATAATTCACAAAGATACATGCACCCCAATGTACATTGTAGCATTACTTACAATACCAGGGTCACAGAAGCAACCTAAATGTCTATCAACAGAGCAATAGATAAAGAAGATGTGGTATATACTTACAATGGAATACTACTCAGCCATAAAAAGGAAGAAAATAGGGCCATTTGCAGAGATGTGGATATACCTAGAGACTGTTATACAGAGGGAAGTCAGTCAGACAGTGAAAAACAAGTATCATTTATTAATGCTTCTATATGAATCTAGAAAAATGGTACAGATGAACCTATTTGCAAACAGAAATACAGATGAAGATGTAGAGAAGAAACACATGGACACCAATGGGGGGTGGGGTGGGGTGGGATGAACTGGGAGATTGGGGTTGATGTATACACACTGCTATGTATCAAATAGATAACTAATGAGAACCTAAAGTAGAGCACAAGGAACTCTAAAAAAAAGTAATTCCATGAATTTCTTCTACGACATTCCAGGCACTGTGCCAAGGGCTGGGAATACAAACGGAATAACAAGGACATAGTCCCTGCCCTCAAGGATGTTATGGTTCAGATGGGGTGAGACACACCAAGAGGCACAATCGGAGCTATAAATATGCACCCAAGATCGAATGTTGTGCAGGAAATTGCCCTGTAAAGAGGCTTCTAGAAGAGGAGATACTTCCACTGAGTCTTGAACAAGTAAGATTCCACTGCATAAAGAACATAGATAATAGAAGAGCAGATAGAAGCCCACAGGAAAAAAATCTAAGTTTGCAAGCTATGATCACTTCCATAAGGAAGGAAAATGGTGGCGAGGGGACAGGAGAATGGTGAAAATGGGTCAGGGCATCACCTGGGGTGGCTTGTACTCAACAGGCTATGAAGTCAGAACTGAGCAAGATGCCAATGGCTTAGACCCTTATGGGTTAATTTAGATAGTGTAAACTGTATCTGAAAGCTGGGAGGCTTGCTACCAATAGGCTGGCTTTGTAAGAGAGCTTTCTGGCTGGAAAGATGGAAAACTTTTAGTAGGGTTGAGCTTCTTGGGTTCTAGTTTGAAGAGGATGAGAAATTGACAGTTGTTATGGACTTAACTGGCCCCTACAAAATTTCTATGTTGAAATTCTACCCTTCAGTGTGACTGTATTTGGAAACAGGGTCTTT